AAATTTCCGGATTTTCAAACACCAAAATTATTAAACTTTATATTTTTCAAAAAAAAAGGGCAGTTTGGTCTTTTTTAAAAAAATTGTTATAGAGTTCAAAAAATAGATATACGTGTAATAACATAAAATATTAGGTATTTTTGTAATAACAGAAAATAAAATAAATATTTATATAAATTTTTTTAATTTTCTCACAACCATATTATTCAAGCTAAGATGATCAAAAGTTTTGTACTGCTTGACTCGCAATTTTAGATGAGTTATGAGGCGAGGCCTTACTTGTTTTGATAGAGTGTGTATTTTTGCCAAGAAGATAGGTAGTAACATTATATCGTATTTGAAGCCTGTGGGTGGCGTACAATTTGATTGTTCTTCAATTTGCAAAGGGAATTGGTAAAAGGAATGGTTTAAAAAACGGATCGGTGACCTGGATCGAGCCCCTCAAAAACCGATTAGGATCAACGAATCGGCGATTCGGATCGGGAATCGGCTGAATCGGTCAGATTAAAGTTTCAAAAAAATCCGAAAAAATTATTAAAATCCATTATAAATATTGTTTTTTAGGAATCCAATAAAAAATAAGCGTACTGCATTATTAACTTTCATTTTTTTTATCAATTTATGAATATTGAGATGTTCTTTCCCTGTATAAATTTATTTTAACTATTAAATTTGCATCACATAAAAGAAAAATCATAGAATTATCATGGATAAAATATATAATTATATATGGACTATTATAAGAGTAGACTAATCAATGAAAGAATGGCCATTAAAATCTCGTTTTGGCGAAAAACCTTAACCCGCTAAAAAAACCCAAACTATTACAACTTAACTAACTATAATCCAAAATTATTACAACTTCACTAATTATAATAATATATACTAAAATTATAATTATTGGTTTACATTTATAATTATTTTATTAGACAAATAATAACAAATTAAAAATATTTTATAATATTATCTAATTTAAAATGTATTTTTGACAACTGTAAGAAAAAAAGTACATTACATGATTTATAATGTAAAAATTCATAAATAAAATAAAAGATTTGGTTATCAATGTAAAAATTAATAAAATGCACACAAATTTTAGAAATAACACTTCAATTTTTCAAAATTTATTTTTTTAGGTTTCGATAATAAATTTAGTAAAAGAGATTGTTAGTAGAAAGATGGAGATTTCAAATAGAATAAACTTTTTATTTTTATTTTTTTTATACCTTTTATATTATTTACAAAAATAATTATACCACTATATACAACAAAAATTTACGGTTAAATTAAAAATTAATTTTTTTATTTTTTATGTCTTTTATATTATTTACAAAAATATTTATATTTATACCAACCACTACATACACAACAAAAATATTTATATTTATACCAACCACTATATACACAACAAAAATGCAACACATGCCCAAGGGGAATCGAAAACAACAAAAATATTTATACCAACCACTATATATACAACAAAAATGCAACACATGCCCAAGGGGGTGCCCAAGGGGATTCGACCTTAGGACCTCAAATAAAACATTCAAAATCATAACCATCAAGCCATCTAACTACATGTAATTATAAATTGCTGATTAATAGACTATATTTACATTTTGTTTTCATTTAATAATGTTTGAGAATTATCCCCCATCGAAAGATGGATATTCAAATTTGGTATATAAATACCTATGAAATATGAATTATAACATGTGTATAAAAATATCAGGGCAACCACACATGTGCGTTTGGATACACATGTGTGCGTGTGAGTGTACGTGGGGCACGCTCGCACGTGCGCTCGGACACATGTGTACGCGTGTGACTGTGCGTGGGGCACGCTCGCACGTGCGCTCGGATACACGTGTGCACGTGTGAGTGTGTGTGGGGCACGCAAGCATGCTCACACGTGTGCACGTGTGAGTGTGCAGGCACGTGCGAGCGTGTTATGTGTTACGTGTGAGTGTGCGTGGGGCACACTCGCACGTGCGCTCGGACACACGTGTGCGCGTGTGAGTGTGCGTGGGGCACGCTTGCACGTGCGCTCGGATACACGTGTGCACGTGTGATTATGCGTGGGGCACGCTTGCATGTGCGCTCAGACACACGTGTGCGCATGTGAGTGTGCGTGGGGCACGCTCGCACGTGTGCTCGAACACACGTGTGCATGTGTGAGTGTGTGTGGGGCATGTGGGCATGCTCGCACGTGCGCTCGGACACACGTGTGCGCGTGTGAGTGTACGTGGGGCACGCTCGCACGTAGGTGTCGTGTGTTACGTGTGTGAACCGGATGGGAACCGGCGGTTCTACTCTAGAATCGGGCTGTTTCCGGTTTTCGGTTGGAACCGGCATGGTCACGCTTGTTTCCGAGTCGAACCGGAGCGGTTTGTATAGAGCCTAGGCTCTAACAATCAAATTAGAGCCTACCTTCAAATAGCATCGAGAAATATGGTTTTAATATTAGAAATTTTTGTGATAGTCTTAAAATTATAGTTTTATATTTATTAAAGTTTAACGTTTCAAAAATAGTGTAAATTGACATATCCATGAAACTTGAAAATCTTGAAAATTAACGGTCAAAAAATGCATTACAAAATACATTATTTTCAAAACTTGCAATTCATTTTTTTCTCATATCCATGCATCTTGATGTTGAGGTGATCAATTTGAAGATATTTGGGCATCAAAACAACCTCTTCTATTGAAATTTTGGGGGTAGGCTCAAATATATAGAGCCGAGGTAGGCTCAAATTTGGAAAATCCCCTCTTATATCTCCATTGTTTTTTTTTTTTGTTGACTATTACAATTAAAGAAGCAATTTTATATGCCGAACCAACCATCCAAACCAACTCCGAACCTGAGATGGATTTTGCCACTAAGTCATGGACCTCTTTATATATTATATATAAAAAGATTAACCAAATCTTCTTAAACAAGAGTGTGGTTTGTATAAGGCTGAGGTTCTAAACAATCAAAGTAAAGCGCACCTTCAAATAATATTATTTCAGTACTGAAAATATTTGTAATGGTCTAAAAATTTATTTTCATATCTAATTATAAAATTTAAAGCTTCAAAAATAGTGTAGATTGAACATATATATAAATATTTTTTAATTTTAAAAATTGACGGTCCACAAAATACATTATATAATACAATAATTTTAATATTAAAATCCATATTTTCTCAAATCCTTTCATCTTAAAGTTGAGATGATCGATTTCAGAGCTTTTAGGCATCAAAAACTACTTCTTAAGTGCTTTGGGGCCTACCTTTGTATAAACTTTTTCCAAATTTAAAATTTGCTCCCAATTGAGCTTTACAATTTGCCCATCAGATTGTTTCTCACAGTTCTACCCAAAGATTGCGCCCAAACTCAAAATTGTTTATAACCAAAATTGCAACAAGATAAGAAAACGCGAACAGAAAACGTCCAAAATTCTTAAAAACAAGGAAATAAATAAGAAAATATCTAAGCCCACAATCATAATATACCACCTCGATAAAAAGAGTAATTCGAAATCCAGCGATTTCCATACAAAATCAGCTGTCCAGATAGGAATCGGTTGAGACTGTTTTAAACCTCGACAATTTCCAATTCAAATCACCAATCCGAATAGAAATCCATCTTGAACTTAGATTGTATGGGTCCGACCCAGTTTCCTCGAAATTGGCCTATACACAACTCTCTTTCTAGGCTTTTCTAATGTTTTTTTTGTAATCCGCCTCTAAATCCCAACCTCATAAAAAGCATCGGTCTTATAGAGGGATGCAAATAGATTGTCCATCTAAAAAAACTTGAAACTAACTGTCTAAATAATTTTTTAACAGAATTATTATTTTCAATCTTTAAAATTGAAAATAATTCTAAATTTTTAAATTTTATTTATTTATTCCATGTTAGAGATCACATGTCCTTAAAAATTAGGGCCAAAATTCATTTAAAATATAAATTTAAAAGAGATGACTCATTTCTACATAGACTCATAAAAACCATTTCCTTTAATTTTGTTTCATTTATTTTGAGTTTCTTAGATCACCAATATGGCAATGTTTAAAAACCTACCGATCTAAACGCTAACCACCCGGTTAGATCGAAACCGGCCAATGGCCGGTTCTGGTTTTGGGTAGTTTGGTGATTGACCAGTATTTAAAAAAAAAAATTAATATATATATATATATATATAAATTCTTAAAAATAAAAAAATTTGTTTATAATGCACTTTTCAAATAAAGATTAATTATTATTTTTTGTCATCAATAGCCTTTAACTAAAAAATCGATTCGTTAAAATCTATTTTTTTCATTAATTTTCAACTTCATTTGAATGTAGTTTAATCAATAGTTATAGAAAAAAGTTTATATCAATGCAACCTTAAAATGTAAAATTAAAGATGCACCTCAAAAATCGATCAAAAAAGGTTGTTTTGATGTTGAAAAACCATGTAATTGCTCATGTCGAGATGATTGAATATAAAAGAAATAAATAAACAATTGATTCCCAAAAATAGTGCAATATCCAATACATTATCTAGACCATCCATTTTCAAATATGAGATTTTCATATGTTTATAAATTTACTTGATTTAACGATTTTTCAAATTTAAAATTTTATAATTGGAGTTAAAAATAGTTTTTAAAATAATCCAAAGAATTATTTTCCACCCAAATTATTATAATATGATAGAATTTGAAAGTCTGCCTTAATTGGATTGTTTAAGGTTGCAACCTTCTAGAAACTATACTATACTTTTTATACTTTAATAGATTTTTTTATATATATATTTTAAATTTTTCAACATTTTTTTTTGACCACCCAAATTTACTCAATTAGAATAGTTGAATTGATCGGTTTACCCCGCTTCGAGGGTCATGTCTGTTCCGATTCGATTTTATGATCAATTCAAACCCGATCTTCCCCTCCGATCCCGCTTTTGAACACCGGAATAAAAGCGTCCATGGAAACCAGAAAACAAAGAAGAGAACAGAGTCGTCATGTCCACAAATCATTCTCATACTCTATATATCTTTAATACCATAACCAGAAACCTATATCCACCTTTATGTACCATCCAAGCTGAAATCAAAAGCACCCAGCCATAAAAAAAGAACATCAATTTCACAGATATATTCTCAGGCGCACCATGAAAGCACACAGTAAGAGCTTTAAGAGAAAAGAAACCAAAGTACTTAAAAGACCACTCTCTCTCTAAACTCAAGCAACCTTGACCTCAATGGTCTTGCGCTTCTTGGGCTGAGGAGGAGGCGGCTTCTGAACAGTGACAGTAAGAACCCCATCTTGGCAAGCAGCTGAAATGGCCTCCACATTCGCATTCTCAGGCAAATTGAACTTCCTCGTGAATTTCCCAACCCATCTCTCCATTCTCACATATTTGGCCTCCGGATCTTCTTTCTCCTCGCTCTTTCTCTCCCCACTGATGCTGAGAATCCTGTCGTCTTCGACCTGAATCTTGATATCGCCGGATTTGCGGCCGGGCACGTCGATCATGAAGACATACGAATTGGTGTACTCTTTGATATCGGCCGGTGTCGAGGCCATGGCTTTGGTGTCTCGAACATAGGTTCGAGTGGGTGCGTTCAGGAGCTTCTCGATATCATCTGGTTGGTTCAACAGGTGGTGGATAGTTGAGAGAAAAGGTTGCTCCATTACAAAGTCCACTCTCTCTCTAAGATTTTGGGAAATGTTGACAATGAATCGTTTCTTTCTCTAAAAATTGTGAGTAAAATTCCACTTTTCCGACCTCTGATGAGAGACAAAGTGGGGGGGTGCAGGTGTTTATATAGCAAGGATGGGAAAATGTTGTGGAAGGGACACAGAGTTTTCGAGAAGCTTTTTAAAGGATCCGACCTCACGAGAAAGCCCCACTTTCCTTTTCTCTTATGCGCTCTCTCTCTTTACTTTTCTTCTCTCTTTTTCCTTTTTTTTTTTTTTGTTCTCTTTTTTCGGCACGGGTAAGTCCGATTTGCCATAATAATATTTCGGCTGTTTGACGAGAGCTATAGAGCGATGTTTTAAACCATCAAAATACAACGCACAATCAAATAATGTCGAAAAATATAATTTTAATACTGAAAATATTTGTGATAGTCTTATAATGTATGTTTATATCTAATTATAAAAATTTAAAGCTTCAAAAATAGTGTTGATTGAGCAGATATATGAAAATCTTCAATATTGACAGTCCAAAAATATGTTATAAAATACACTATTTTTAAGACTTGAAATTCATTTTTTTTTCATGTTTATGCATCTTAATGTAGAGATGATCAATTTGAGGATATCTGATAATCAAAACAACCTCTTCTAGTTAACATTTTGATGTGGGCTCTAATTTGATTGTTTAGAGCCTCAGCCCTATATAAACATTTTCTCAAATGTCCCTCGAATATTCTTCCCCCCCCCCATAATGATGTTATAATAGATACATGTGAGGATCAATAATTAATGAAAAATTATTAAAAAGCTAAAATCTAATAGTAATGATCCTATAGGAACCTGGAAGGTGTGAGACCCCCGATCACGTAGATCTCAAAACTCCCATCTCAAAATAAAAAGTCAATTGCCTTAATGCTTTGTTCTTTTTTTTCTCTCTCGTTAAATTTATAACAAGTACAACAAGAGCCATACTTTCTATGAGTTTCTCTCTCTCAAGCAATGTGAACGGTCCTCTCTCTTCCCTCACTAGTCTCTCACCCCACGGCCACCCTTTACTCTTTTTTTCTATGCTTCGGCTCCCCTGCACCTCTCTTACCCTCACGTCCTTCGTCTTCTCTTTCCCTCACCGATTTCCTGCACCTCTCTCTCAGCCCATTTGAATAAGCTACTGGACAACCACCTCAAGAGAGACCACCTCCCCAGCCACGATCAAGGTACAATGTTCTCTCACTAGCATAATATTAAGGTTTAGGGTGGTTTTACATATTTGAATGTTGGGGCTTTATTAAATTAGATATTTTAAACTCAAAACATTGGCTAGGTAGGACTAGGGTTTAAGGTGGTTTTACAGGTTTGCATGTTGTTTTTTTAAAAAAAAAACTGAGAGATTTAAAAAATATGTGGGTCTGTAGGGTTTAGGATACTTTCTAAAACTAGGTTTCAGAGGTTTAAATTTGGGGCTTTTTTAAATCAACGATTTTAAAAAACTATGATGCTCTGTATAGAAAGAATGAAATTGTTGTTCATAGCTGCAAAACCCTTTGAAAATGTGCTTTATTGCCAAATTTACCTGAGATATCGAGTTATTTTTCTTCTTTCAAATAGTGTTGTTCAAGACTAGATTTTTGCAGCTTATTCTCAGATTTTGTTGAATAAATTTTTTTCTCAATTTTAAAAATCTTGGTTTATTCTCAGTTTAATTGGAATTGTTGAATAATGTTATTCATTTTTTTTCATTTACGATAATTTTTCTTTCATCACAACCTTTATTGTATTTCTTATTCATACATGAAACAAATATCTTAAGTCTTTAATAATGGTTTGAGTTTGTATTACCAATAATGTTTTTTTTTTTTTCCTTTTTTAGATAATAAAACTATTGATGTATTTAGCTTTTGTAGTTCTGATGAAATTGACGTGTTTAATCCCCTCAATTGTATAAAACATTCCACTGTCGTTTTGTCTAAACTCATTGTGAAACTTGAATGCTGGAGCATTAACTGTCTTTGAAATCCTAGACTTGGCAATACCAAGAAGGCTTCCAAATCCTAGACTAGGGAAGAGACATTTAGAGAGGAGCTTATCAATCAGGGAGATTCCACAGTCCCTTGATACTTAATATGGGCATCTAAGCATTTTAAAAAAAATAAAATTAAGCATTATTGTACTTTGCTTGTATCACTTGTAACCATCTATGAAACAATACACACGTTCTCTTGAGAATCAATGACGTTCGGAGTTAAAGTGACTCCAGTCTCAATTCTAACAATGTTTGGATTAGAAACCATGTTTGAAAAACTTTTAAGGATTGGAGGGAGGATTTGTTCACAGCAAGAACATGAAAAAGAGTGTGGAAGGATTAATTTCCTGATAAGTGGTAACAAAAACCAAACGTCTGGAACGTCCTCCAAGAATGAACCTACTAATGTAACAACCCAAGGTATTTATAAAAAAAAAAACATTTTTATGCATCACTAGCCATAGTTATATACGCCAAAATTAGCGTATTACGAGTAGTGATCTTCCCCTTATTGCTGCCAGAGTAATTGTGCACTAACCTATAGTCACACTAGATGCAAAACCATCCTGGAAGTAAGCACTATTTGAGGCATTCATTTCCGGCACTATTTGAGGTACTACTTACATTATTTGGGGATTGGCTTGAGTAGACTTTTTATTCATCATTATAAATCAAGCTCGTCGACTATTTAATAAATAGGAATCAGTCATTGAGTTAAGAATTACATCAGCTATAAGTAGAGGATCAAAATTGAAGTATACTTTTCTGGTGAGTAAAACCTATTTCTTTTTTAACTTAATAAAAGAACAATTTGTTTCTTTTGAGAGCAGTTGTCAGATTTATTCAACAAAATTTGAGAATAAGCTGCAAAAATCTAGTCTTGAACCAAATCATTTGAAAGAAGAAAAACAACTAGATATCTCAGACTAATTTGGCAATAAAGCACATTTTTAGAGCGTTTTGCAGCTATGAGCAACAATTTCATTCTATACAGAGCATCACAGTTTTTAAAATGGTTGATTTAAGAAAGCCCCAACATTTAAACTTCTAAAACCTAGTTTTAAAAAGCACCTTAAACCCTACAGAACCACATATTTTTTTAAATATCTCATTTTTTTAAAAAAAAACAACATTCAAATCTGCAACACCACCCTAAACCCTAATCCTACAAAGCCAATGGTATGAGTTTAAAATTTCTAATTTAAAAAAGCCCCAACATTCAAATCTGTAAAACCACCCTAATATTATGCTAGGGAAAGAAGATTGTACATTGGTCGTGGTCGGGGAGGTGGTCTCTCTTGAGGTGGTTGTCGTGTAGCTTATTCAAATGGGCTGAGAGAGAGGTGCAGGAAAGCCGTGAGAGATAGAGAAGAGGGAGGACGTGACGGTGAGAGAGGTGCAGGGGAGCGGGAGCATAGAGGAAAAGAGTAGAAGGAGGCCATGAAGGTGAGAGAGGTGCAGGGGAGTGGGAGCATAGAGGAAAAGAGTAGAGGGCGGCCGTGAGGGTGAGAGACCAATGAGGGAGGAGAGAAGGCCATCCATATTGCTTGAGAGAGAGAGAAACTCGGAGGAAGTAGTGCTCTTGTTGTACTTGTTGTCATAAATTAAGCAGAGAGAGAAGCAAAACATAAAGACATTGATTTTTTATTTTGAGATGGGAGTCTTGAGATCTACGGTGATCTATGGGGCCTCACACCACTATTACTCTTTGCCAAAAGATATCTTCCTCCCGCGGGAGTAAAATGCTACGTTGGGGTCGTGGTGGTAACACTATTTGTTCCCAAGTTAAGATCTAGGTTTTCATTTTCATCTAGTGCATTCAAAACCATCAATAATTTTAAAAAATGGGAAGGGGCTGACATCCCTGTTGAATTATACAAAAAAATACTCAAAAAGTTTTGAAATTTAACGGTGATTATCCAATTTTTAGATGGTGAGATCTAAGCGTTACAAAAAATCAAATTTTATATTTTTTTAAAAAAATAGTCATCTAGTAATCTTTAAGTAATTTCTAAAATTTAAGATTGAAAAAATTACTCCCAAATGAATCTTCTTACCAAGGAATACAAATAATCGATGCTTCCGAAAGAGTATATAATTCATGCGAAACAAAAACAAAACAAAAAAAAAAAAAAAAAAAAGTAAAAAAGTAGAGGATTCTATAAAACCTTGACCATTTTCTACATTATTACGGGCAAAAAAAACGAGGTACCGGTGCTTACACGTGGCGGTAAGGAGAAAAGAAGAGGAGAGAGACGCGAAGAAAAGTATTGAGAGAGCGCAGAAGAGAGAAGAAAAGTGGAGGTTTCTGGTAAGCTCGGGACGCTATCCGAAGCTCCTCGAAAACTCTCTCTCCACTGGAGAACCTTCTCCCACCCATGCTATATAAACACCTCCACCCCCTCTTTCTCTCTCATCACAGATCAAACAAGCACAATTTCTATTGCCTTGCCTGTTCACAACCCACGTTTCCCAAAACCTTAGAGAGAGAATGAACCTGGTAATGGAGCAACCTCTTCTCTCAACCATCCACCACCTGTTGAACCTACCAGATGGTATGGAGAAGGTTCTGAACGCACCCACTCGAACCTATGTTCAAGACACCAAAGCCATGGCCGCAACACCGGCCGACATTAAAGAGTACCCCAATTCGTATGTCTTCATAATCGACATGCCCGGCGTCAAATCTGGCGATATCAAGGTTCAGATCGAAGAGGACAGGGTTCTCAGCATCAGTGGGGAGAGAAAGAGGGAGGAGAAAGAAGATCCAGAGGCGAAATATGTGAGAATGGAGAGAAGGGTTGGGAAATTCATGAGGAAATTCAATTTGCCTGAGAATGCGAATGTGGAGGCCATTTCAGCTGCTTGCCAAGATGGGGTTCTTACTGTCACTGTTCAGAAGCTGCCTCCTCCTCAGCCCAAGAAGCCCAAGACCATTGAGGTCAAGGTTACTTGAGTTTAGAGAGAGATAGAGGAGGTTAGAGAGAGATTATTCTGTTCTCTAAATGCTTTACTGTGCGATATGATGTGGGCATGAAAACGTATTGGTGTTTTTCCTTTTCTTTTTTTTTATTATTGTTATTATTTTTATTTTTATTTTTATTTGCCTGTTTGCTTTTGATTTCAGCTTGGATGGCATATAAAGTGGATGTAAGTTTTTGGTAATAGTACGAAGGAAATAAAGCATGAGGATCGTTTGTGGATACGAGTGTTTTTTTATTTATTTAAATTATCACTAATTTATCTTAAATTTTAAGAAAATCCCAAAAAAAATAAATACTCAACTTTTTAAAACCTCACCTACGTCATTTTTTATTTTTTATTTTTTATTTTTTATTTTATTTTTTAACAAAAATATTTTTTACGATAGTCTTTATTGTAATATATTTTAAATATATTAAATATCGTAAATAATATTACAGCAATTTAATTATCGTAATACATAATATAATTTTTTAAGTCATCAGTAGTATGATAATGCTTTTGAAATGCTCCAAATTGAAACCAACATCAGGGCTATCCCTCTCTTCCCCCTCTCGCGAAAATCTGAAATCAAAAATTAAAGGGCACATTTATTTTTTATTTTTTTTTGTATATTTTATACAAATTACTACCACCATGTGGGTATTTTATTTCTTGCATAGAAATAAAATGGTTCTACAAATTCTAAGTATATTGCATAGAAATAAAATGATTCTACAAGTTCTTAGAGGAAGATAAACTCGAAGCAGATTCCTAGAGAGAGAAAGAAAGGAACTCAACCATGTGAGAGAGAAAGAAAAGGAACTCAACCATGTGAGTATTTTGCCAAGGATTGGTCTCAAACTCAGATCTGTGCTTTCAACAGTTGTTTATCAATAGCTATTGAGGCTCTCGAATGAGGGAAAACTAGTTGTTTATCAAAAGCAATTGAGGTTCTCGAATGAGGGAAAACTTGTGCATTCAGCAGGCAAAATAATGAACTGTGTAACTGTGGCTGCATATAGGATCGGGGAATTCCCATATTGGTATCGCCAAACATTGACCACAAGCCTCAAAATTTGCATGGCATTAGCAATTCTCTTGAATTCAGTAGGACTCGCAACAATTTCTGCTTTGGTTGTGATTGTACTCACCGTGCTTTGTAACTCTCCTTTAACATAACTGTAGCATAAGTTTCAGACCAAGCTTATGATGGCATAAGATAAGAGGCTGAAAGTTGTTAACATGAAGGTGCTCAAGCTTTATGCGTGGGAGACCCATTTCAGATTGGTCATGAGACCCATTTCAGATTGGTCATTGAAGCCTCATGGATAGTTGAATCGATATCGGCATATCAGATGAGGAGAGCTTATAATAGTTTTCTCTTTTGATCGTCTCCTGTTTTGATTTCTGCTTTTGATCTTCTCCTGTTTTGATTTCTGTGGCTACCTTTCGCACATGCTATATGCTTCGAGTTCATCTCTACCTTAGTGATGTTTTTACGTTTGTTGCAACTCTTCGCCTTTTTCAGGACCCTATACGAATGATTCCTAAAGTTATTGGTATTTTTATCTAGGAATTTGTAGAACTATTTTTATTCTTTAAAAATTTGCAGAACCATTTTTTTTTCTGAAAAAAAAAAAAAAAACCTTTTCAAAGCATAGTACTAAAAATACTGTAAAGAATATATTATGTAATGCATAGTTAAAGTACGGTAATGTTTTTGTGGTATTCGAAGTACCACAATATATCTTCACACTATTATTGTAGTTTTTACCGCAATATATTCAAAATGTTTTACGGTAGAAAGATTATTGTAAAGGGTATTTTTGTTCAAAATAACCGCAAAAATTGACAAAAAAAAGGAGTGGGCGAGGTTTTGAGATATTAGCAATAATTTTTTTTTTTTTTTGGCCTTTTGTTTTTTTGGAATAATTTAGTGAAATATACACCCTATTTCTTTTCTCAAATAGTTTGGTTTTCTCAAAAACAGAAATAATATTTATTATTCTTTTTTCTTTCCCATCCATCTTGAGTTTTAATTGAGACATCGTTTTTTATATCCATCTTAGATATGGACGTTTGATGCACGAGGGGACTCACAAATCTCGCTGAGTCGGATGACGCAAAATAACGGCTGTCCTTATTAGTGGTACTTTAAAATGACCCGTGAGTATTTTTGACAGGACAATGGTTTGATAGGGCTGCACCCCTATCTAAACAGGTAAAGCGTCACCACATAATTCAAAAACTACAACCCAAGCATTGAAAACTTTACATTGATCATCTTGGCTGAATATTTAGTTGTGAAAAAAAAAAAAGATTTTAAGCTCTAAAAATTGTGTATATTGTAACAAATTATATAGACCGTCTATTTCATCCAAAAATTAAGCGTTCATAGGTCAACAAGATCTGCACTCTTTTTTTAATTTCAAATTCTTTTATTGGAGTTGGACATTGATTTCGATCGATCATGGAGATTTTGGTTCTCGAAATTGCTTTTTAGACGAGGATTTGAGATGAAGCTTTATTTTGTTTTCATAAAACCTAGGCCCTATTAAAACTTCATCCTTTTTGAAATAAACACTGCAAAAATTAGACAGTCTATTTCATTTCAAGACCTCTTTTAGTATGTATAATGTGCAAAATTTGTCACAATACTATTTTACCAATTTTCAATCCTAAAAATCTGGCATCAAATCTATTATAACATATGGGAAAGGTTTCTATACTTTCCCTATAGCATAGAAGATCTATGCTTCTCCTACCATCTAACCATCCAATTTTGATCAAAAGAGTTATTCACTGTTTGATTTTAGATCCGACATCGCAAAGTATTATATTTTTAATGTTGTTTATATAAATTGTATGAATATGAAATTTGATACGTGACGTCTTCTCATTGGGACGTACCTATAAAAAAATATTAAAAGTAATTTTTCAATAAAATATAATTATCAAAATATTTTTTTTTATATCTTTCGTTAGTGCAAGTTTAATAGAGGATTGGACGTCCAAAATTTGGTGTCAAAATAGTTTATAAAAAAATTAAAAATAAAATAGTGGAGAGACTAGACATTGTGATTGGAACAATTTTAGCCCTCCATTCAGAATGAACGGTTGGATAAGGGAAAATATATAAGTTTTATGTTGTATGGGAAGCGTAAAACGCTTGCTCATAACATATAAGGCACCACTTAGGTTTGCACATGCTAAATATCTCACACATCTAATATTCATGAGCAATGATCTAATGCAACGGTTGTAGTATAGTATAATGCAACGACACTTCTAGCAAAACCATGTTTGTGGTATCTGTATGATCCTAAATTTTGTACACACACTCTCTTCATCTCAACAATCAATTCTCCCCAAGAAAAAAGTTCAATTTGAACCCTAGATATGATCAAAATGAGTCGCCTCAAAAAATGAATCTAGACCATTCATTTTGTGAATTTCAAGATCTTAGCCTTTATAAACTTAAATTTTTTTCCTTTTGTAACATTGTTATCTAATGATAATAAAGCCATCCAAAAAAATTGAAAATGAAAAAATCCTTCTAAAAACTAAATCTAAACATCTCGCCAAAATGAACAACCTATGCTAATTAGGTTAAAAATATACTTTTTAGGTTGTGTTTTCAAATTTTTCTTTTTTGTAATTGTTCATTAAAGTTAAAAAAGTGCATATTTCAAAATTTGGATTAAACAAATGACCATAAGATAATTTTTTATGATTGTTACATCTTATTACTATACAACGGTTTCATGAAATCATTGCTCTATATTCATATATGTTAGGTCAACATGGTAGACAAAATGATTTCCTGCTCTTGCAAGAGTAAATTGCACATTTACCTCCTCCTGCAAAAACCTGGCTGAGAGAACATACACCCACCTGAGAGTCCACAAAAGTTTTCAATGGTTGCGTGTTCATATTATAATTTTTAATGGGATAAAGTTTCTATGAGGCCTAGGCTTTATGAAAACAAAATAAACCCTCACGTCAAATCCCCATCCAAAAAGCACTTTCGGTAATGGAAATGTCTATGATGGCCATAAAATCAATTCCCAGCACCGATAATGAAATTCGAAACTCAAAAAATAATATAGATCTTGATGATCTATGAATACTTATCTTTAGGGTGAAATAGATGATCTAGATAATTTGTTGAAATAAGATGGTTAAAGGTTTTGTAATGCTTGACTTGGGATTTTACATGACTTATGAGACAAGGCTTTACTTGTTTTAATAGTGCTGCAGCGCTATCAAACCATTTTCCTTCATAATATACTGTATATTTTTGTGAAGAAGATAGGTAGTAACATTATATTATTTTTTATACCCGTTTTACTTCACCGATTTTTTTCACTGCTGGTGCGGTTTGTAGGGAGCCTAGGCTCTAAACAATCAAATTAGAGCATACCTTCAAATAGTGGCGAAAAATGTGGTTTCAATATTGGAAATCTTTATGATAGCCTTAAAATATATTTTTATATTTATTTATAAAGTTTAAAGCTTAAAAAATAGTGTAGATCGACATATCTATGAAAACTTGAAAATCTTGACATTAACGGTCCAAAAATGTGTTACAAAATACACTATTTCCAAACCTTGCAATCCATTTTTTTCTCATATCCATATATCTTGATGTCGAGATGATCAATTTGAAGATATTTGAACATCAAAACAACCTCATTCTAATAAAACTTTGGAGGTAGGCTCAAATATGATTGTTTAGAACCTCGGCTCTATATAAACTTTTCCCATAGATAAATATACATCTATATATTTGAGGCTCGTTTATTTCCGCTCCTTTTTTACTGTGTTACTTTTGTCTTTTACTTTATTGGAAAATCCCCTCTTAAATTTTACATACCAAGTTATATCTCCATCGGTTGGTTTTTTTGTTTTTGTTTTGTTTTTTGACTATTACAATTAATGAAGCAATTTTACATGCCTACCAACCATCCAAACCAACTCCAAACTTGAGATGGATTTTTCCACTAAGTCATGAACCTCTTTAAATATTATATATAAAAAGATCCTCCTAAACAAGAGTGGTTTGCATAAGGCTGAGGTTCTAAGCAATCAAAATAAAGAGCACCTTCAAATAATATTATTTCAGTGCTGAAAATATTTGACATGGTCTAAAAATTTATTTTTATATTTAATTATAAAATTTAAAGCTTAAAAAATAATGTAGATTGAACATATATATAAATATTTTTTAATCTTGAAA